ATCCCTAATGGGAACCTTGGGTATATTCCAAGTATCCCACTGATCATTCTGACCACTATCAATATGTTGTTCTTCTTAGTTAACTATCACTCTTCCTCCAAGAGGAGCTGACAATGTCGAAGACATGTTACGGTTGAAAAAACTCACTGAACCTTTCCTAAATGACCGTCCATCCGACCAACCCAAAGCGGCACACCTAGCCTAAACGGGATCCAGGTCCGGAAACAGAAATGGAGAAAGGTTAAATGGGCTTAATCACCACCAGATGGCCCTGATACCATAAACACCCAGGATGAATAACTGATAATGAAATATGAGAGAAACAGGATATTGAAAAGGTTAAATAATCAATGAAATAATACAATGAAATAATATATATATATATATATATATATGAAAATATGCAAGTTAACAACAGAACATGAATTACTTTGAAAAAACGGTTGCATAAACGAGACGTTGGATTAGGTCCTTTTTATTGGGCAGGGGATACCTGATCCATTGAAGAACTTCATTGAGGGGCTTGTAATTGATAACTAATCTGGGAACGCCTCTTTCTATTTCAACATTCTTTTGGACATAGAAAGCGGCACAGCTCCATGGGGAACGGCTTTTTCGAATGAGGGATTTGTTTAATAATTCCTGTACTTCCTTCATACAGTAATTAAAAAATTCTTAACTCATTTGGCTAAGACGGGCTTTGGTAGGGATATCCTTTTCATTGAAAGATTTTTCATAAGGTAATTCAACAATGTGTTGTCTTCTGTGCCAAAAGGCGTTTGGGAGATCAGAGCAAACCTGACTTTTAAGTCTTAATCTGAACCTTTGAATAGAGTCTTGGAGACTTTTTTGACTGAGTCGTTGATCAATCTGTTTGAAGATTAGTTCTTGTTTGAGAAAGTCTAAATGCTTTGTTTTGCTTTCAATTCTGTTGACAGCAGGGACTTGAGTAACATAGGAATCCTTAATGGTATTGAGATCCTTGTTGTCTATAGGATGAGCAAAAGGAAAGCAAATTTCTTGTCCAACTAGACTTGTTGAAATGCCTTGGCTATCAACTTTGAACGGGTAAAGAAGAGAAATAAATGGAGTTCCCAAAATAACAGGGGTATTGAGGTCTTTGACCAAGATGAAAGGTGTTTTAATACAAAGGCCCTGATTACAAACATGGGCTTTGGTTAACTTGTACTGAACAGTGAGTCATGAACCATTAGCACCTTGAAGCCGTTCTTTGGTTTTCTCAAAGTATTTCGTAGGGACAAGTCCTTCATTGATACAATTGAGATCAGCACCGGAGTCAATGAGAGCCACTGTATGAATGGTATAGTCTTTGTTGATGACAATTTTTAGATTAACATGCCATTTCTGGAATGTTATCTGGGTTAGAAGGTTGATGTAAGTTTCATTGTCCTTGGTGGGATTTTCAGAAACTTGTTGTTCAAGTTTTGCAGAAGACTTAGGTAGTAAGGCATCTATCTGGGATTGTTGAAGAAGGATTTGGCTTCTGAGGGTAAGAATATCATGAGCAGTAGAATCTTTCAAAACCTTGCCCTCTTGCTTGGTTTGTTTGATTTCTTTATGGAGATCTTAAATCATATAATTATATGTATATAAATATAATTAATTAATAATCATTATGGAAGGATATATATATTTATTGATATATATATAGGTATATCTATGATTTATTTAACTAATGATTTTTATGGAAGGAATATATATAAACTATATAATATACATGTGTATATATATATTTAATATTTAAAGACTATTATATTTATTATTTTATTTGGTAGTCATAATTGGAAAATGATTTGGATTTTTAATGTGCATAAATATACGCAAAAGACTATAGGATTAAGGGTTTTTCCACGTTAGAAAATAAGAGAGTTAGAGAGAGAAGAAGAAGGGCTGACGAAGAGGAGGCCGGATCAGAGAAAGAGGAGACCAGATTGGGAAAAGACAGGCGAGTTTTTTCCTACTTCTCCTCTTAAAACTCATAAGCTTATCACCTTGATTATCAAAGTTATAGTTTATTTTTATTTTGTTGATTAAAATAATTTATTAATCGGTGTACATGAGCATGTTTATTCTTTGAAAAATTTAAGATTTAAACATGTGAATAGATGTATTTATTGTTAGGATAATTTAATTTTTGTACGTGAGGTTATCTTAGTTAATTTTTTTTTTAAAGTTTGATCTAAATATGTTCAAGAGGATTAATTTTATTAAAAGGATGTTTAGATTATTTTATAAATTAATCTTGACCCAAAAATATTAACTTTAAGTACTTGGGTTCTCTGGAAAATTTTCAGATTATTGTAATATTTTTCAGAGGTTGTTTAGGATTTTAGGTTACAGTTTATATATATATATACACATACGTGGGTTTGAGAAATTTCCAGTTCGTCTCTGGTCTTTGGTGCACCTACAATGGCGTATGATCTAGTGCAGTGCGACATATAGTAAGTGTGTATGTGCGTGGTTCTGGGCCTTTGATGCGGCTGATGGTAGAGGGATGGATTCGGTGCATTGTGGTGCACACAAAAGTGTGCACATGTTCATCTGGACCTTAGATTAGGTCTAGTCAACTTAGAAATTATCCGGTGCGGCGCAACCCAGCAAAACTTAGAGTACCAACCAACCAGAAGATGCCACGTCATCCAGAGGAGTCATCAGGCGAGTGTGCAACACGTGAGAGTGCGTAAGGGCGCGTGATGACATGTGGAAGCTTGGGGTGGCACGTGGAGGTGCGTGCAATGGGTCTAGGTGCATGTGGCGGCACGTGGGAGCGCGTGCGGGGGTGTTTGAGGTCCCTTGAAGTTCCTGTGTGGTCCCGTGAATTCTCAAAATTTATTTTAAACTGTTCAGGTTGAAAGCAACAATTAAAGGCTGTGTTCGTGGTGTTTTGAGAGGCATAGAGTATGTTTACGGTATTTAATGGGTGTTAATTTATTAAATTAATAATTGGGGATGGAAGGATGTATGTATATATGTATTGATATACGTGTGTGTGTGTGTGTGTGTGTATATATATATATATATATATTATTTCCATAATAATGAATTTTTGTAGAAGGGGTTTATACATGTATTTATAATAAATTATATATGTGTAGATGTATATACTATTTAAGATAATTTGGTTGGTATATCTTAATAGGCTGGTTATTACATTAAATAGTATGCTTATAATATGCATGGAAGGCTTAGGTATGATTTGGCTTATGGTTAAATTAGTTTTAAAATTTAGTATATGGTTGAATTGTAGTCATGGATGAATTGCCAAAGGCTTAAATAGATAACCTTATTATTTATGAATAAATTTCATCAACGGAAGGCATAGATGAATTGTTATTTAAAAGTATAAATAAATATACTTAAAGAAGCATGATTGAATTGTTGATATATAAATAGATATATTTATAATGGCATGGTTGAATTGCCATTTCATAATTAAATTATTATGTTTTAGATGATTAAAATTTCATCTGTGATTATTGTATGTATAGGTTAGATTAGGACTAGAATAATCTAGTATTTACAGGTTAGTACATTATTTTATATATATTAATAGAATAATGTTGGTGTGACATGGATGATTTGTCATGGCCTAGATATTAGTTGTGTGATTTAAATAACTAAAAATCACTATTGGGTTTTGGATTTAATGCATACTTCCTTTAATTGTAATTTATAGCTTAAATAATTAAATTATTGTCTAGGGTGAAATTAAGGAATTAATGTGTTTCTTTTAAAAGAAACATATGTTGGCAGATTAGTTTAGGTATGATTAGTAATTAATCATTGGTTAATGGTTTTGGTAATTTAATGAACCTATTAACAGATAGGATTGTTGTATTATATATATAAGTATTTATATATATTCGTAGCATATATTAAAGTTAAAGCTTTATTAGGAATGGTTTTGGTAGAGATGATCTGTTTATTAGTTTTCAGAGGCTTGATAAAGAGAGCTTGCTCGTAGGGTTTAATCCACGATTTGTTTTTTAGGTTAGTAGAAGTTCAAGTCTCGAGATTAAGGATCCGCAGCTGCAGGACTTATCCATTCTTTCGGTTTATTTAAAAGTAGGATATTATTATTATTTCATTTGATATTAATATTTATTTCTGAAATTCTGGATATTAACTTTTGGTTAAGAGGTCCTTAAGTTACGGGATTCCCGGGTTGTAACCATTTGGGAGTTATTAATGGATTTACTATTTATTAGTTTTCTTCAGCGTTTTATTTTATTCTTTATTTCATTTTGTAATCTGTGCTTGTTTAAATACTTTAATTGTTTTGATATCCCTTAAGTTTGTGCACAAATTTGATCAACCCGTGTTCCGAAACTATGGGGTTTCACACATTTTGCTTAATTAAATGCAAAGAAATATCTGTATGAGTTATATCATGCTATGTATAGATTTATTTGATGTGATATTATAACTGTAGCATCATTTTTGAATTGTATACATTATATGAAGCAGTATGGGATGGTGACATATCAGGGACGGGTTAACTAAAAACGTTAAGTCCTACCTATTCATGTATAAGTGAATGAATTAACTAAAATGTTAAGTCTTACTTATATTCATGTCAGGTCAATGATACAGTTGAATGACATTGCCGGATATTTATTTTATGTTTGGATATGACAGATTATATATATATATAGTTATATGTCATGATATGAGCTTGAGTATCAGGATCATGGTTATGGTGCGTATATCGTCAGGGATGTGTACTAGATATAGTATAGTTGTATGCCCTGGTAGATCTAGGTATTCATGCCCACTATATGTGCGTTTTGAGTGTTACCTAATATTCAGGTTGAGACAACCCTATTGTCTAGTGAGGTTCCTTTAGTGTGTATCTATATATATATGGACTACTTAACTATTGCATGAGTTGACTATGATGTATTTGTTCTTTACATCTCTGTTAGATGTAGTAGAAAGAACTTGTTTGTGTGCCTGACCCACTATTTATGTTTCAGGTCTATGTAGATTTGATTGTGCAGAGTAGAGACCAGTCATTCTCATTCTTCCGGATTATTTATATAGGATTTTACTTTATGTTTCAGTATTCAGTTATAGACAATTGTTACTGTTGTTTCTATCAATTTGGGATTTTTCTAGGGGTCCACACAGTATGGATTCCCGAGTTGTATTTTGGAGGATTAGATGTATCAGAAGATTTTTATTATCTAATGAAAATATATTCTGAAGTTTTTAAATATTGGATTATCATTTTATTTTTCTTTTCAGCATTTTATTTTTCTTATTTATCCTTTTGTATTATGTATTCGTTTATTGCCCATTTGTTTTTGATATCTCCGAGTGTTCGGACGTGGGCCTAGCTAACCCGCATTCGGAAATCCAGAGGTATCACATATGACAATTGGGTTATTTTCTATAAAATATAGATACTTCTCTTAAAATGGATACAGGTCGGGACACGTGTCGGACAAGGCTAACACGACAATGATACGTTTCAGACACTATTAATATACTGTAGTACCCATATATATATATATTCTTTGTATTGGTGCTTCCTAATTTATTTTGAAACATATGTTTGGGCCTGAATTAATGGATTATGTTGGAGGAAATTCAAAGAATGTTGTTACCGTAGCTAGAATGAGTTAATGGCAATCTTTAAACATATAAGAGCTGCAAAACGGGAACATGAACCAAATACCGAAAAGGGTCTCTCTAGGATTAAACAAGATCTCAAAATTGATTTTACCAAATTTCAAACTCACAATCCAAAATTCGAACTCAGCATCAGGATTTTGATTCTGAAATCCAAAAATCGAAGTCACAATGTTCACATACACATACAGAGAGGTTTGACATGACTTTGAAAGTAAACACTACCACATTGTGAAAAATAAAAGTAATGTAAATCATTAATTACTTCATTTTTGTGGGTTTTTTTTTCTCTCTCTTTTGACAAACAAAATCATCAAGAATCTATCGTTGAGAATAAAGTGATGGTTATATGAAACAGAACTTATGAATGTTCAAGAATGAACTAAGAACAATTTTGAATCTACCAAGTTAAAGAGAAAATGGTAGAGGATTCAAATCTATTTAGACTTCTAACAAAAAAAAAAAAAAAAAAAAAAGAAGCAAATATTTCGCCTTCTTCCAATAAGATGGAGAAGAAACATGATTTTGAGGCCTAAATGACTGATTTTGGTCGAAAAGCACCATGAGCCACTAGCTAAAGCTTAACGAGTTTTACTTATGGTCGAGTCATAATCCGAGAATGAGTCTGATCCTTGAGTCGAAACAATGTTATTGAGCCTCAAAATGGTCTATAAAACTATCTTACATCATGATTTTTCTCGTAATCAAGAAACTGAGAGCCTGAGAAGACATTTTATTTTTCTAACTGTGTACGAAAAGATTATTACATGGTCCGGAATCATGTGGTCTCAGCCAATCACATGCTAACACACAAATGTGTCACCTTTATTATTATTATTATTATTATTATTATCTAAAATATGATTCTAACATATTTTAACAAATTCTCTCTTTGAAACTTGAATTTCCAGGCCAAGTCAGCTCCTTCTCCGTATGAATCCAACTATTACACCAAAGATTCATACTCCTTGCATTGCATAAACACATTTGATGAACACGTTGAAAGCGAATTCACATTCAGTAGCGTTCACAGATAGGAGTTATGGAGTTGTGGATTCAAATCGAGGGTTAATCTATTTTGTTCAACACTAATTATTTCATATATTAGTAAAAAATAATTATATGGAACCCAGAGGCGGAGCCAAGGGGGGGCTAGGGGTGGCCATGGCCCCCTTTAATTTTTGGGGATTTTTTTTTATAGTAAAAGTAAAAATAAAAATAAAAATAATATAGTATGTATGGTATAAAATCTATATTTGGCCCCCTTAAAGGCAAAAAAAATGTTTTTTCTTTAATTAGCATTTAACAAAATATAATTTATATATAATCTAAAGGAAAGTGATTTAATTAACGACTATAGAATCCCGATAAAAACAAACTCATATAAAAATTTAAGGAAAAAGCTTGCCTTAGGCCATAAATGTAGGCATCTCCTTCTTATGCTGATATAGACCAACAATAATATGACATGTGTCCAAAAAAAAATTTAAAAATTAAACTCGAATCATGCGGATCTTTTCGCAAATCATCCAAAAGAAAAGAGGATTTTTTATTTTTTTATTTGTTTTAAGAAAAATGATAGGTCTTCCGACGTTAATTGTCGACTCTTCCAATGAATACAACGTGGTTTGATCCCATTGGAACTCTTAAAAAAATTCCCGTAAACATCTCTTTCTTTTCGACTCATTCCCAATCACGTTATATTTGGAGGAATAGTCAACAATTCAAGTCAGAAGATCTATCACTTCACTTGTTTGAGATTTTCTCTCACACGCCTGTGAGTCTGGATAGAGCTCTCTCTCTCTGTCATGATTCCTTCTCTTCCGACCAAATTGCCATTGATAACCACCATCTCCCTAATTCTTAAACCCTAATATCATCATCTCTTCTGCCAACCGACCTCCACTGCTTGCTGTTCTCCTCCATTCTCAAACCCTAATACTTTAATTGCAAACTTTAGAGTTTAGAGATTATTTAAGACAGACGGGTATAGATATAGATGTCAATCAGCAACGAGAGAATTAATCCTTCGTGTTGAGGTCGTTACCTAATTCAAATAGAAAGCAATCCCAAGAATCAAAGATGCACACCACTATAGCGTACGAAACTAGAGTACCTGTGCATGGATGGCTACAATCAAATGCTGATTCCGCTTTGAAGGCAAGGCCTATTGGAATTTGGAGCCACATTCATTGCCTCTGTTGCAATCCTATCTCTAGAATGACACAAGATGACAACTATTCATCTGAAGACGAATTAACTTCTTTAAAATTTCTATAAAATCAGTTGGGGGTTGATTTACCAATTATATATATTTTTTTGGGACTATTTGTTAATTTCTTATGTAACGGATTGCAATATGAATGGTTTTCTTTCTATATTAACATTTGGGTGATCTAATGTTTTGGTATATAAATTTCCCTGGAATGGAATTCATTTGTGGATTATTTACCAGATTAAAGCTACAATTTGGTTGTTGATGAATTTTTATGTTCAATTTTTTATCTTTGAACTCAAGTATCTCATTTGGGATGCCAATGAATTGGAATGTAATTCATGCCTAAAATTCCTCAGTAGATTTGTTTTCATTTTGAGTTGTGGTTGATGCCTCTTGTAGCTAGTTTGCTGAGTTTAGATTGGTCGCTACTTTGGTGTTTGAATACTTAACCTTGGTACATAATTTATACCGTTGGGGTTCAAAGCTAGTATTTTGGAATATTATGCAAGCATTTATGTGTCTACATTAATCAGTAAGTCAATGTCTTGTTATCATCTTTTGTGTGTCAGATTATTAATAGTCCAAAAACTTTGTAACTTGAGGCACATTCTTGTACTTTGGTAACATAATAATAATCCATGACAGTAGTTAGTGTTTAGAAACAATGGTAGCATCAGTGCAAATGATGGTAAAAATTGATTGAAAGAAAGTCATTTTGTCGAATCTTAAATTTCAAATTGTGCTTGAAAGATACGGAACCTGAAACTACTCATAAAAAGAAATAAGAAATAAAACAAAATGATGTAATTTAAATTAGATTACCTTAAAATTTAAACACCAGATAACATAAGTAGCTAGATCATGAAATTAAAGGAGTTTAAAACAAATGAAAAGAGTACAATAGTGTTAATTAAGAAGACAAAGTGTTCTCATTGAATTGGCCAAAAAAATCAATCTCTTCCCTAGGAATATAAGCAGCTGCTGCGGGATTCAAAAATTGAACAACCAAGTGTAGACACAAAAAATAACATATGCACACAACACGCATCCTCAAAGCTCCGTATAGTACTCATATTAACTAACTAGAAGGAAAACTCTCAAGCTTGTTGCCTTTGTCTGCACTTTGTGAAAGGTTCTCATAATGTGACAATGCCTCCTACAAGCATTGAAAAACTTTAATTATAAGAAAGTTATTATAAATAAATCCTTGTCATTTTTCTTTAACAATATCAATCAGTTACTTTCCTGAGGCAATTGAGTGAAACGTATATTGCCTAGCTCTCCAATCTGTGGTTACTCCAAAATTTTCAAAAGTTGAGTTCATCATTGAATGGCTTATGAAAAGCATTTCTATTCCAAGGCCGATATGAGATTCTTGTCAAATATAAAGTACATATTAATTAGGCAATAATTATAAGCCAATAAAATTAAGAGAAAATATATTGAGATTAAAATTTGGTTTCAAAGTAAACCGCTTTAATCAGCCAAACAAAAAGAACCCTAGGTATGTTGATTAAAGATTTAGTTTGTTCTTCATATTCATTCAAATTTTGTCTATCATCTAATGCATTGAAATAAATTCTTCATGGACGGAAAGATATTAGATTATACAAGTCCATAATTGTCTATCTGGTGCTACTTTTACTTGATCATTTGGCAGTCACGTAATAAAACTGACCAATGAATTTTAGCTACCATAAACCTTTATTAATATACTATTTTCGATAATTCAAAATTTGCTCAATGGAAAATCAAGCAGCGAACATAAATTTTTTGTTATTTTATAATTTATCTACATATGACAAATAAAAAATTTATTTCCTGAGTTAAAATATCAAATGTTTGTTGAACTCCATGGCAACTTGCTGCTGTTGTAAGTTACAACAACTAGAAATAAACTCCTATATCACTCATTGATAAGAAGAAGAAAGGAAAAAAAAAAAAAAAAAAAAAAACATAAGTATAACAATAATCACCCTCTAATCAATTTATAAAGTTTCAAAACATACCTTTGTTGCTTTTTCTTTTTCCTGTTGAAACTTTGGTAGTTTTAGGGTGTGCATTTTTTCTTCGTCACTCAAGTGCGCCTATCAATCGACCACGCGGACATCCAACCGTGGCTTTTCTTTTAACCCCAGAAACTTCTACTGGAACACAATTGTTTGGTGGAGCTATCAATTCAACTTGCTCATTTCGACCAACTGAACTTTCAGGACCACTTAAATTGTTCGAGTAAAGTTCTTTCTTCATTTTCTCTAAGTTATTAAGCAACACAAGAGCATACCCATTTGCATATGTATATAATTTCTCATGTTCCGATGCTAAAGATGAAATCTCATGAAAATTACGACACAAATGACTGTAACGCTTTCCCACAGACACTTTAGGACTATCATTAGCTTCAATTCCATGATAGTTGGTGATAGTTCTTGCCTTTGCATCTCTTGTCTATCGTTTCATGATATATTCGGATGGAATTCTTTTTATATTCTTCTTATCCAACACTTTCAATGCATGAGCACATAAAATTCCAATAAAAGTAAACTTCATACAACT